ACTTACTGTATGTAACTAGAAACTACTTGACAAGATGACATGCAAACACTCATTAGATTGATCGCAGACAAGTTTGAAAATCCAAGGTCAGCTACACTGCACCTGTCTATATCGTAGCATATTGGACTTGTTTGAAAATTTATTAGTTTACAAAAATTTTCATGACAGAAAAAACGCTGTAACTGATTTTTGCACGATCCAAGAAATATGGGTATTCATTCTTAGTGGTTGAAATGGCAGGACGACCTGCAATTCTCCCAAGTAAGACTAACGGCGACGTTTAAATTGAACACCATCAGTAGAGCCACCGAGTTTTCATTCTCAAAATTAGATTGCCAGTCAGTGACCATAAACTATCACTCAGCTCATATCTGCCACAATTTGTTTATAACATGATGTTGCGCGAATGAGTTCATAATATGATATTTCGTCTGCTCTGCTCTGCTAATTGAATCCGACATACCGGATAGAATAATTATTCCTATGGTATACGGGTGGTATGTAAGTTACATTCACTTTCATAGTGCCCAAAATGATATTTTAACAAAATCTCGGTTTGTGTACTTTTATGACTTATGACTAACACAATGTAAGTAATATGCTACCTAATAACAATTAAATATTATAGCATCAATCATAAATTTGTGTAGAGATTAAAAATTGCAATCCATTTATTTATTTTATAGTATGAAAATATTTTAGTTTTATTTTGAATTAGAAATGATTATTAAATATGAAAATATCACTGAGGCAATAAAAGTTACTGCGTAAAACTGCATAAGTTATATAGATACTGAGAAGACTCAATTAAAAACTTTGGCTGAAAACAAAAACAATTTTAAATTAATAGAAATTTACTATTGTGTAACGATAGTTAAGCATAAAAGAGAATATAGTTTGATGATGAGAATATAGTTCGTGCTAAGTAAGGCGTAGAATTTGTCAACACTATAGTCCTAATGTATACTGATCAGCGAACTGTGTCTCAATAAATCACATCCTACATAGTATAATAATAGTTGGTCGTTTTACTATATTGTTTCAGTATATTGTCTACGGTTATAATTCAATGTAACAATACAAAAACTTACTATCATTTATTTAAATATCGTTGACCATGTGTTTCTAAAGATTTGTTGACACAAGTCAAACAATTTGTGTTTTTAAGTTATCACCATGGCAAGAAGTAAGAACTGGGTAATCAATTTTGTAATAAAAAACATATTTTTCAATTTTTGTTTACTTCTTGATTTGCGTCACTTTATATGCATTTAATAATATGTAAATAATAATATTATTAAAATATTTAAATTATTTTGGCTTGGTAAACTGCAGTCAGTTGTTAACACAACACTTTGACACATCAATGCTTTTTCTTTAAAGCCAAATATAAAAACAATTTGGTACGTATAATAACTTGAATATTTAACTGTTACGTTTATGAAATACAAATTAATGGTTTGTTATAACAATAACTACTAACTGGAATATCATTATTTATTACACTATGAAAAGTAAATAGGCATAAAATAATAATAATTATATTCTATTTCAAAAGGTCGGTTATTGTAAAAGGTTTACTTTGTACACAATAAATCGTTTTTGCCTTACTAAGATCAAAAAACTTTCACCAGCAATATAGAGAAAACTGATGGACTTAAACGAAAAATAGCATTTGGGCCTTTGAAACCAGTAGAAAAGTTCATTACAAGCTGCGTTCAATTTAATTTCACAAATACTTTATGTAGGGCATCATTCTCCCGGGGTTTAGTTGAACAATCTACGAGTAAGTGTAGGTGTAGCGGACTTTGGAGATAGTTAGCTTATTTCAGACACCCCGAGTTGTTCATTGCCAATTTAAAGAGAAAGAAACGCCTATATAACATAAAAGTTATGTTTTATTTCTATTTTGTCTTGACGAGACATCATGCGGAGAACAATATGTGTGGGGAATTAATGTTTAAAAATATATATGTACAAACCCTATCGATTGGGCGGAATTCGAATTGCTGTATAGTAACAGCGGGAAGGGGGAGTACTTCATAGTAAAATAAAACTTCCCTAAAAAGAAACCACTAACCTGTATGATGTGTTTTGTACATTTTGTACAGCTCACGCACCTAAGCCAAACAAATTTATTTTGTACAATGTACACATTAAATAATAGTATTATTTATTAAAAATAAAAAGAACAAAAGCAATGGCTACCGCAGCTTGTAGTCGACACTGTTTTTCCTTTATGATTTGTATAAATAAATCCTTTTTTATTACAGATAAATTCTATAATATTTATTGAATCGTATTTTACAACGAGAAACTTTCTTTTTAATAGGAAATTTTTTGGAAATGTATTTTAAATAAATGCGGTATCTAGTTCTCTGTAGTATTGATTAGTTTAACAGCGTTTACGCAAAATAATTACAAATACATATGATACTATATTTTTTTGTGATAGTTTAACAACTAGATAACAATAATTTTATATTATATTATAATTAAAAACAGCTAATTGTATATCTAGATGTGTTGTAACTTTATCGTATCTACTTGTATAGTATTGTTGGTAAGTCTAGAACTATTAGTTTGACTTTTGAGAAGTGAACTATAAGGTGATTATATATATACTTAAATAATCCATATTTTGGTCAAAATATAAGAACAATAGAAAATTTAAAAAATAAATCAATCATCTACTAAGTTTGGAGCTGGCTATATTATAATTTGTATTTATTCTAGTCCTAGGATCTGTGTCAGACACCTTGTGTCCTTGACCCGTGTTACATAAAATATATTTAGGTTATCTTTCGATCACTAGCTTTCAACTATGGACTTTTGGCATAAAATATGTGTTTGGTGAGAATTTAGAGCATTGAGTGACCGAATTACTACTGGATTCGTTTACCATGTCAGTTTACATCAAGGCCAAATTTTTCATTTTCTTGTATACTATATACTATTTATTATTGTTTTCAAAAACATTAACAAAATGTTTATTAATTATTTTTTGGTAACTATAGATTTAACTCTGTAAATTTGCCATTATATAATTTCTGTATTTTTATTCTATTCGCGATTTGTGTTTAATCTCGTGTTACTTAAAGTAAATCATAACAATAATGCACTATTTTAACTGAAATTATACTTTTTTTTATTTAAACCGATTGATACGTTAAAAGTGTTTATGCGTCCTTTTTTAACCTTGATTGCTCGAAGTCTGCCATTTAAGACATTGGCTTAAAATAGTAATTAGTACATTATAATATCATATTATAAAATATGTAGGTATTCACTGGATTGTATTATTTATTATCATGCTAAATTCATTATCGACAGGCAAGTTATCTCCATTTATCATTATTTGTTATCTATGTTGTAAATATATTTGAAAGATTAAATAACACATTTTCCTCTAATAAGACTGAATAAAATTGATGTTTTACAGGAACGTGCCGCAGAGAGGTATAAAATATTATAAAAATGTTAGTGTATTGCAAATTATATTTTATATTTTCAGGTTCAATATATGTTAGTCAATTATGTATATGTTTATTTTTATCATGTATATTAAAGAGTGAAACTCCTTTAAAATGTTATACTTATAAAAATATTGTTAACAAATAAAGTAAGGTAATAACATATCCAACTTTCTCAATTTTCTCTTTGACCGAGGTAAAGTTTTAGAATGTTATGTGTTGGTTTTTTATTGTTTACTGTTATCAAAACAAATAGGAATATGTATAAATACAAAAATTAACCTTAGGCCGCTCATGGTTGATTCTAGAACTAGGGAGATCCGTCAGTCGATAGTTTTCCAGGCCAAACAGCCGACCAACGCGCAACCGCTCAGATTTATATACTACGATTAATTTTAAGCTATTTAAGCAAAATAAATAATAATGTTTTGTACAGTACTAAAATAATTTAGACTAATATATTACAATTTTTCAAAAGGATAGTGACGAGTAGTCAGAAACAAATGCTTCGACATACGATGATTCAAGTTTTTAAAAAACATTTCCTACATATTTTATGTATTATTAAGGGCAAGCCCTCAGAATATTGTTACCAGGCAGATTTTCGCTTATTTGATTGCATGTATGACGTATTTCATCCTTGTTAATTTGCTTGTTAGTTATTCTTTCATTTTAATATTCAAGTATGAAATATCTCTAATAGCATAACCTCCACATGTGCCGATGACTATTCGCATCATGAACACGACAGTGACGATTTTAGCTTATATTTTTACTGAGGTGACAAAATATGAGTAACATATTTACGTTTTCCTATTAAGATTACTTTGGTTTTAGCAACTCATTTTTATCATTACTTTTCCAACGTCGAATTTGCGTTTTTAAAGAATTCATAGTTAAATTATTGTATTTAAATCTCATAGTGCAAAAAATGGGTTTCAAAGTATTTGTAAAACATTTCAAAGAAAAAATTATATATTTTACACGAAAATGTTTTTAGTATTTTAAAAACAGTTTTGGTCAGAGGCTCAGTATTTCAGTAATTTATTTATAAACTGCTGTTAAAATATTTTTAAAATGAAGACCACGAGGCAAAAACGACGAGCTACACATGTAGTTTAAATGAAGGGCTCGTCGTTTTTGTCTTGGGGGTCTTCAAATGTTTTCCGCACCATGTGATAATATAATTTGTCATTGACTAGTCGACGGGACATGCTAATCGACGTGTTTTCAATCGTTTCAAAACATATATTAAATTACAAACATACAAAAATAACACTAGAAAAATATTCGACACCGATTCGATCGTGGCAAAGGCGGTGGTGGTAGTGACGATAGGGCTCTTTGATGCACGCCGCTGCCGGCCGGCTTTGATATAACACCCCGACGACGACGCCACCGCCGGTTGAGCGCTTGACAGACCCCAAGTCGAAACACGTGAGAAACCCGCTGACTATCGCGCGGTGCGGTCCCCAGTAAGCGGCCGACGGCACATCACCTAAACACGATCAAAAACCCGTCCTACAATACACGTTTGTAATCAGTTTTTTTTTTTTATTTTCCGTTTAAAATAACATATTCCACCGGCTGCTTTGTAATACCGAGACTGAATCTCGCGTGCTTCGATCGGTCCGTTGCGTTGGAGCGCAAGAGCCCCTTTTTGAACTTCACCGCACTCCGGCCGTTTATCTAACGATAGTCTAAGCAGTAGTAGAAGTAATAGTTGTTGTGCAAGTGCTAGTGGTAGTGAAATTGCACGGTGTCGTAACCGGAGAGTCTTACACATCGTCATCGACGGACTTAATGCCATCATCAGATGCCGCCAAAGAACTTGTGTAGTATGCCGGCGTTATTGTCCCGAAAACTCGCCGCTGTGTAACCCCGAAGACGCGTCGCAGGTAAGAAATAAAAATAATCAGGCATAAGAAAATATGGCCTAGTGGCTAAGGCGGCAGTGTGTTAGCGCTCATTGTCGCCGGTTCGACACTAGGTTCACTAGGTCAGGCGGTACTGTTGGCTGGCCGAGAAATCGTCTTGGCAAAAGGAACCGCCATTACCACTAAGACGACGAACTGACGAAAACTGTCCCGAAATCGAACGGCCTTCGAAGCCTAGTAATCACACTGTCGAATAGCATAGTATTTGTACAGATAAGATCCTTGTTCATCTTTTCGGACAATAAATAATTGCGTCCCAAAAGACAGGATTTTTTTTTTTTTAATTTTAGTTGAGATCTACGCATATGGTTATTTATCAAAGTTTATTAATCAAAAGTTATTTATCAAACCAGTTTATTTATCAAAAGTTATAGTTTTTCGAAACGACACCAGATGTACAGATAACTCGAATATGGTAATAAACTACACCACTCTACACACATTGTTCACATAATCGTATAGTAGTACAATAATTGAATAGGCGAAAAAAAAGAAGCAGGTCGTTTTTAACGCGTTACGTTTAGAAACGTTTGTATTAAATTTGATATATTTTTCAATAAAATTATTTTTTCGCCCGCAAGCCCGCCAGGCAAAACGAAATGTAATGCTTATTTTGGAAACGGTCGGCCGTGGGTGTCAAATATAAGCTCGCTAGACTGGCATCTAAGTTCACAGCGACCACCTTTCTCTACAAAGAAGAAACACGGTTGTTTTTCTTCGGAATAATTTTTAAATTTTGAATTCGGCATCTGACTAATGTTCTAGCCAAACGATATTGTCGCTTTAATACGCTCGCATTTATATATTATAACGCATAACATTTTATAAACGAGCATTGGGCATCTTTACATATTGTATAGTTTTTTTTCCATACATTTCACCAGCTTGCTTTTGCGCTGCTCAACCTTGAACGTTCATTGTCGCCTCTTACGAGGACCCAGTTAACTTCTGTACACTATTTTTTTTTTGTACACATAAATAATAAGCGATTCCGGTTTATTGACCGTTTTCCATACCGAATATAGACGATATCGATCGTGGCCTTTACCGTCAAACGACGTCGGGCGATTATTTTCGTTCCTAGGCAATACTTCACGGATTGCCACAAAAGCGTATCATATACGAAACAATAACTAGTAGAACACAATAGATGCTGTCGATCACCTCTTCTGATGGTTAGAATTGTCAAGCCTATTTATATATAAAGGTAGTCCACTGAACTTATTTTAACTTTTTTTTTTGTTGTACCCGATACTTAATTTTTTTTATAAATTTAAGTACGAAAATATGCCGAACTTCAACGACATTTATATATAACGCATAATATTATATAAACGAGCATTGGGCATGATTTCATGTGTACAGAGAACTGTCTAATAATGCTTATACACAATCATTGCATTGACAAACCACGTTACAATGCACACCTAAAAACTGTACAGTAGAGAGTACATACTTGGCATTATAGTTTTATGAACTACTGTTTATTATAAACTATTGTTTTAAAAATAATATGGTCATATCTGATGGTATTTGTTTTTTTTCGGATAGCTTTATTTTGTGGTCTATTTGTTCGCGTAAAATAATATGTTGTCTTAGAATTCTGAGCTATTTTATACGTGTATTACAGTGAGATTTATTTAAAAATGTTGTAGTTCTTATCTTTATGTCTTATCATGTCAGAAGTGTACTTTTTTATTTTCATCTTTCTAAACGAGGTAGTAGAGATTTGTCACAAAACCAAATACGTCTGTGTTTCACACAAAGTACTTTATAATAGTACAAGAATCAAATATACCAGGCTGATGTATGTAACAAGCACAGCCGCATTAATTCATAAAATTATTTTGTGTTTAAGTGCTTTTCAACGCAATTACATTTTAGGGTAATATGATATCTTGATTTATAAATTTATCATTGTACAACGTTATACAACATTATAAATCCAAAAAGTTGTATAGGTGACAATCTTTGTGGAAAAATGATACTAGCAAAATATGAGAACTTCAAAAAGATAACGAATTCTAGGACCGTCAATGTACGTTGTAAACAGAACTTACGGTAGTAATAAGCTGAGTACTTTAACAAGGTTAAAGCGACATTGGTTTGGAGGTAGTCATAAATTTGAAAGTAATGAAATAACTCGAGGAAAACACTTTAATTCAAATCTGTGGATGGTGTTAGAAAATAAAGCTGATGTATAAGAAATTCAAGTCCTTAAATTGCGGTTTTACATTTTGTAAAAATGTCAAAGAAAACGTTTCGTATGTGCTATTAAACGGTAAAACCGAATACCAATAAGAAAATTCAATATTATATGATTTATAAACCAAAGGATTATTTTTCCAACCCTTATTCGATTAAAACTAATTGGTATTTTCAGTATAATTAATTTTGTTGTTGGACGTTTACTCATTATCAAAAGAACTGGTGTTATTGATATTATATACGTTTAAATTTGGTATACTTAATATATTTTTAAAACTTTATAATTACATACATTAGGGATGGAAAAAGGGTTTAACATTAAAGGTAGTAACCTTTAATTGTAACCTTTTATGTAATAAATAATGGTAATGAGATTTTTTTTGATGGAAAACTATAGTAAAAATTTGTTTTATAATTTACCATAATTTTTGTTAAATAATCATTTCACATTTGTTTACAATTGTTCTAAGGATCAATATATTATATTATACGCACATACAACATATCAGCACTAACATTGTACGTAATTAATTAAATTACATAATCAATTACAATAAAGTATTCATGATTAAACTACTCATTAATTATTTAATAATTTTTTAAAAGTAACTATTAATCTTTAAATTGTAATCATGATATGATAAAATATACATAATACATTTGTCTCATTTATCCTAAAAATATTGTGCTTTTCTGATAGTACTAATATTCTTCATGCTCCTTTGACATTATTGTTACGTGGAACATCATCATGGGAGGACTAAGATAAGCTGACCAGATCATACCTTCTAATACTTACCGGTAATCTTGTATTATGTCATACCGTAGAAGGATCGTTAAGGGATATTGAGGTGGCTGGTTAAATTAGTTTGATCCTAAACAAACACTTTGTGGCATTTAGTTTGTTGTGATTATACTGTTAAACGATTTTTCTCTCTCCGAATTTAATTAAATCCAGTTTATAATCTTAAAATTATATGCGAGGTATGGTGTATTTCATAATATTAAATTTAATATTATAGTATTCGCATATATTATATGCGAATAACATATTATATTTTACAATATAACGCCTAGCTAAAAATTACTTAATTAAGACTGCCTTTCGCCAGTCCCCACTAAACATGACAGAAATCTAATTGGTGCCAACTAAAAAATATTCTCTGCGGCTACAGAACTAGCCCCATCAGGCCTGCTCCTGGCCATAAGCACCATACGATACAATAATACCACATATTTAACTTAAAATATTTTTTTTGAGAAATTATGGCGGTTGCAAGTAAAGTATTGTAATCGACTTGAATAACAAAAATGACCAATAGGACGTTTTTGGAATCTATAAATTATATAACAGCACTAATATCTAACAGTGGATTTGATAAAAATTACTTTTGTATGGCCTTTTAATTTTTAAATACAAGGTAAGGTTATAAACTACATGCCTAATGTACTGAAGCGCATAAATGACCGGTATAAAATCAGGCGAGAGAGACATGTATTTAGGAAAATTACATGTATGATATTTAAATTTATTTAGTATCACGATATACATAAATTATTGAACTTGCTTAAATGTAATAGTAAAATGATCAAACATACGTTAAGTCGAACTGGTTTATATAATTAACCATAAATTCATAATCCAAATATACTTGACCTCTTAATCCTACGCCTATCCAATCTGACCATCAGCTGCTTCAAAAAAAATTAAAAAGTTACTATCATTCATACAGGAACGACTGTGATTAGGCCTTAAGGCTTGAAGCTTTTTGGTTCATATGAAATAATGGAAAAAAAATTTACCACTCTTACCTAAATGCATTGAAATTTAAACACACCTGAACCACTTTAATCTATTCTCAATTTTTTTCTTTCAATGGCGTAACAATGCAATAACGTCTGATAAATATTGTATGGAGATAAATATAATTTATTGAATACGATTCCAGTGTTTATAATTGTTTTAGTTATAAAATGTCAATTCTTTCCAGGAGCAATAGAATTATTCAAGTGTAACGGAAAACTAAAGAAATGCATGCATTTTTTAGTAGTTTAAACATAGAAATGTTGTAATTGCACGTTCTTTTAAATGTTACGGTCAAGCTCGAGCCAACACTTAACCCTTATTTTTTCTACTGGTTTGACTTTATCCCCTACTTATATTTATACTTCTGAGTAATTTAAAATTAAGTATAAGGTAAGAAAACTCTAAAAACATCCAATGTTTTGTTGTAACATTATAAAATAATAATAAAAAAGTTTTAAGTTCCGATAAAACCAATCGCTCGTCATTTGGATACAAGGATAATGGATGTAATAAGATTTAGGTAATTATATTTTGACAGATGAGAACGTTTCCAATAAGATTGCTTGACTTACCTCAGTAGTTCATAATATTATTACTAATTGAAATTGGTTTTCTGTGGATTTAATTTTGAACAGAAAGCTTTTATGAGAATAAGAGTGATAGACCAGCTGTTGGACGTTTACGATTGTCTATAATATGTTAGGATGTTCTATCGTTGAGTACATGTTACGAACGCCCCTGTACATGTTATACTTTATTTATTGAATGTATTAACACAATATTCTTGTTTTCTGTTCGTTTTCGCTGTTAATACAAAATAAAATAAGTACTAGCGTTTTGCCTCCAAAATTCAATGAGAATGATGTGTACGTTGGAAACTGTTGAATGTAAACCGACTAACCCACTAGTACGTTTCGACGCTGATCGTTTGTCAAACAAAATGTAA